CATTCATGCGTGGTAACCAAATACAAGATTGAGATTGAAAGTTGATCACTGATTATAGCCAAATAATAACTATAATCTTGGTCAATTTAGATAAAGAGTGTTACGTTTGTCTTTCAAATTCTTAATATCCATGGTGTGATTGATTGTAACTTAAAATAGAATGAAAGAAGAAATCACTTTGATAAACGATAAGGTAAGACAATAATCGCTAACAGACACTCGATAGAGCATAAATTTAATCGAATTTAATATCTAAAAATTCTTACTCTGTAAAATCAACATAGCTAAAAAAATAATGTATAATCAATTAAATTTGTCAAATTCAATATTTAAATTCACCGTTTAATAATATTTTTGATTTTTAGTAACTTATCTTTATTTTTAACCTTTTAACTCTTAATTTTAAAGGAAATGATGAATTTTTAAATGAGACTACAAAGTTAATTGCCTACATGTGGCTTATGATCTTTTAATAATTTGATTAGTAGCAACCAACCACGTACAAGACATGAAACTAATTAAACACATTTAGGTACATGTTAATTTATTGTTGGGATAGTGGGGAGCTTTTGATTTTCTGTGTCATTATTCTGTTTTCTAAGACTTAAACAGAACTAAGTACAAGGATTAATAAATAATGAAAAACTTCTCAACCATTCACATCTTGTATTCTTCATATTTAAATTTTAAATCATGAGATAGTTATTTTTACCGCAAAATAATAAAATATTCCCAATTTAAAATCTCTTGAACGAAATTGACTTAGCAGTGTGTTCTATGCAACAAACATATGTCAACTTAGGGTAACGTCTTCGTTAAATAAATTAATTTTTGATAAGTAACTTTTTTTTGAATTTTTTTTTAAATAAGAAAAATGATTTCTCTGATAAAAATAAAGAAAACAAATTCCATGAAAGTACTATATGTGGAACACACTACATCCTAGAGGCAGATTCACGTTGAATCGTCCGGATGCTCGAGCATCTATTAATTTTGTATCGATCTATGTATGTCTATAAAGAAATTTTAGAGAATAGAATAAAATTAGGTAGTGAGCACCCAAATAATTAGTATTGAGTTGGCGTAGTGATTATATGTGGGAGCTCAAAGTTTGCTTAATTACATGTATTTTATGTCGACCTACTTTTTCTCTCAGTGTTTGGAGCTATTTTAGGGATCATTCGAATCCTTTCGGTGAAATTATTTATATATGATTGAAATAATTTTTTAGATATATATATATTAAATGTAAAATTTCTCTCGACTACTTTATGTGTTTAGCTTTACAGATTTTTTGACCTCTCATATACATTCATTACATCTTCCTAAAAATTCTTTTTTTTAAAAAAAAATATAAAAACAATCCATTATCCAAAGATATACTATTATCATTTTTTTCTAAAATAAGATTTGTTCAGTTATTGTTCTTTGTATTAATTTTTAGACTTTATAATGACAAGTCATAAACTTACTTATTATATTTTGTAATTAGCAATTGAAGATGTATTCACGATCTTAAAATTCTGAATTTGTCACGATTGAATTTTTACCATTAACTATATGTAATGTCAATTATGTAATAATTGGTAGAGATCACATACCTCAAAAACAAGGACCAAATCTATCCCCTATTATTACTTTCTAATTAACATATCATTTTAAATATAATATCATTAATTAAGTATCTAATCTTTATACTTTTTTAAATATAATATAACATTTTAAAAAATATATTAGTTAATATATAGTACTTTCATCACGAATTAATAGTATTTTAATTTTCTTTTGTAATTTTCATCAATGATATAATTTGATTTTATTATTAATTTTCACTATATAGAATAAACACAATTAATATGATAAGATGAACGTTTAACTTTAAAAATAAAATACATAAAATGAGAATTTAAATACAACACGATAATACAATACCTAACATGTAATTTAAATACAAGATGAAATAAAATACATTACATAATAATTAATTCGAAATGAAGCAGAAATCATACCGAAAAGATATTGAACGTGCATTCGGAGTTTCACAATCACGTTTTGCAATTATTATAGGACCGTCATATTTTTGAGAAAATGAAATGTTGCATAAATAATAAATACATGTATTATACTGCACACTATGATAAATGATGGTGAACTGATATCGATCTTAATGCACCAATTCAAGATGTCGAAGAGGTTTCAACTCCAACGACGAAAATGGTGGTAGATGAAAATCTCCAATTTGAACAATTTTTAGTCATATATAAATAAAAACTAAGAATGATAATGCTCATTTTGAACTTCGTATGCATTAATAGAGCATTTATAAAAGCAGCGTAATAATTTTAAAAATTAAGTGCTTATGTAATTGTATTTCAATCTTGTTAGAATTTGCCCATTATTTGTACATTATAGCATATTTTCTTGAAATTTATGTTATTTAAAAATTTAGAATAAAATATCATGTTATATTAAATAAAAATTTTGAAAAAATAAAATATTATATCACATAAAAATTATATAACGTAATTATTAGGAAAAAAAATAAGGAATTTATATTATGAAATAAGAAAATAAGAATGAAATAAAAATAATAATATAATATTAAGAAGATACAAAAATAATTCTTTTTCAGAGACTAAAATAGATAATTGAGTTGAAATTAATTATCTTAAAAAATAAAAATTTATATTTGGAGATTAAAATAAAAGGTATGATCGAAAATGCCCTGGACGTAACCCACTCTTCTACGAGTCTGTTAGGTTAAGCGACTATTTTTTTTTCTTTGAAATAATTTTTATTAAAATAGATTCTTAAAAAAGTGTTTATGAAAAAGAAAAATATGTTAAAAATTAATTTATTTAGAAATTGCTTTTGATAAATATATTATATCTGACCAAAATTCTTTAAAAGTATTTTTGAATTTTGAGGATCAAACTATATATATAAATAAAATAATACATATTTAATATTAAAATTTTCTTATGTAATGAGATATTTTATTTATATCGTTTTAATTTTGTAAAAAAGAAAAAAATGCTTCCTTTGTTCTAAAAATATATTATATTTTTAGTCTCCCAACCGCTACTCTAGGCCAAATAGGCTCTACGTCATTGAGTGAGCATTTCGTATTATCAGCCTATTTAACTCTGAAAAGTTATTTTTTTAAAAAAAAATATATTATTAAATTTTGATGAAACTTTTATCTGTACATCTCGTTAAAATTTAGCTTACTTATATTATTTTATAATCAGAGAAAAGCTTATTTATATTATTATTTTATTAACTAAAATGACATAAATAAGTTAAATTTTAGTTGATGACACACGTGAGTTTTTTTTCAAAGTTTCGTAATATATTTAAATTTTTTCTTTTTAAAAAACTGATTTAATTAATGACGTAGTCTATTTATAATTAACCACATATTAAAAAAAATGTAGCACAGTAAAAGCTATTATTAGTTAATAAATACTTACATGGATGAACATTTTTTCGAATGAAAATGACACAAATGAGCAATATTTTAACAAATATATAGATAGATTTTTTTAATCAAAATTCAATGACATATTTAGAATATTTTAGTATATAAAGTATATCAACTTGAAAACTGTGATATTACTCTATCAAATTTGTTTTTTTCTCAAAATTTTAATCATGAAAAGTTATAGGTTTATTAGAAAGTTGTACTAGAAAGAAGGAAAATAGAGAGGAGTAAAGGTGGGTAGCTGGCAATTTTGAGTATAGGCAGTATACTAGGAAAAAGCAAATACAGCTAAAAAGAGTTTTAAGAGAGAAAAAAAGTATACTGTAAAAGTAGTAGCCAAAGGCGTAAGCAATAGTAGGTCCAATTATGTAATAATATTAATTGTCTAGAGGTAGAATTTTGAAAAATAAATACTTTTGAAATTCATCGATTAATATAAATCATAAATATTTATATGATTATACCTTCGACTAAACCATGTAAATATAGAAGAAAAAGAATTCAGCGAGTTAGGGAAATCTTTTTTCATATAGCGTCAATGAGTTCAACATCTATAATAAGCCCGTGACTTGTTAAGTTATTACAAGGAATAACAAAAACATCTACTAGTCATTTGGTTTTGGTTTTAAGAAAAGGAGGACAATAATCACATACTTTTAAGGTAAAATTATTGTTTATACCTTATAAATTTATAATTATAAAGATTTTCAAATTGATACAATAATATAAACGTCGATATATTAATCTGATTCGCGAGATACATGAATCATTAATTAAGATACATTATATTTTATACATAATACACTAATGACTGTACATTTTATACATTATTCATTAATGTGATACGCGAGATACGTTAATATAATGCGCTAATAAATTAATTTGATGCGCAAAAATAAAGAATTTTGAAAATTAATAAAACTAATAAGGATAATTATAATAAAAGAATCTAAAGTGAGATTTCTGTGATTTTCCTCGAAAAAAAAATTGACAATCACAACAATTTTAATTCAAAATTGACGAAGGATGAAAACAAATTCCAAGCTAAGCCTTACCAACCGCTTTCCTAAGTTATTGCGATAATCGCTACTTCATATGCCTTAGGCTTCCAAAATTTAAAATTTTTTTGTCTTTCATGATGACTAAAAGGACTAGTATATGGATCCAATAATCATTTTTTGCCACTTCATAAAGTTGGAATTGAAAAAAACAAAATATAGGAAATTTACAATATATACTTATTTAATTAGTAGGAGTGTTAAAGACAATTACGACGAAATTTCAAATTTGATCAACCGTAACAAGGAATCTTAAATACTAGTAGTATACTTCATCTTTCATAAGAGGTATCGAATTTAAAACCACTTAATTGCTAAGTTGCCTTCGAAGGAAATAGTTTACTCTCCAATGTGAGAAAGAAATTTAAATTTGATAATAATTTAAATATAATTCATCGAACAAATTGTTTGAAATTAGAAAAAATAAATGAAAAGTGACAAATAAATAGAAAGAAGTATTAAGTTATCGTGGGAATATAATGATTTGAACTATCAAAACCGAAACGGTGAAATTGAAAATTTGAAGCCACAGTAATTTTTTTTTTTTTAACTTTACAGAAACCAAAACACTTTTCATTCATTGCTGGAACTGGACGGACGTTTTCACAAGTGACGTCTCTGAGCCACACCACTGATCAAAATTATCCTATTTTACTACTCTCTATTCATATGCTCCATCGGTTCAGATCTACGCTACTTTTTGCTACTGAGCTGTAACATCTCTTGCAATGTAATATAGCGCCTTGGATACCGTCATTTTGCTCTTGTACAAGTGAATCATCACGGCGATTTAACGGAGAAGGTGAAGCTCCGGCAAAGGTGGATGCCGCCGATCGGCTTTTTCCTAGGTGCTTGCGAACGGATCCGAATGTAGCAACTCGTTTCTCCTCTGATGATTTCCTCGGTGAGGACATTGATTGAGCCGATGGAGATGACAATGGTGAAACCCTGATTTTGTCTGTGTACCTTTTTGAAGCTCTGGCGTACAGCGGCTTCATCAATTTTAAGTACTTAGGCACATCGGCTCTTACGAATTTCTTCAACGATTCGTCAACGGAAAGCTCCTCCTCTTTCTCGCTCTGCAGTTTGCTTCTTAAACTGTTGTCTCTGGTAAATACAGGGTTCACCGGAGCACGAACCTCTTCCACATTGCATTTCACCGAAAAACGCTTGCTCTGCGTTTGAATTTTCGGACTGGCCGGAGAAGAATCGTCAATGCCTACCTTCTCCAGCTTTGTTTTCCTTAAGCCCAAAAAGAATACCCGGAATTTAGGAGCAGATCTGAGTATTGAAATCGGAGATTGAGGCTTCGAGATAGAAGCTTTTGGTTTGAAAAACACATCTCTCGGGGATTCCGGTGTGTTCACAGAAACAGATTTGGAGTTGTTGTTGTCTAATTTTGGGCGTCCATCAGGGCCAGTAAATACCAAATCAAAGAAGGAATCGGTATCGTCATCAGTTTCTTCATCAGTTTCAATGGCTGGATTACGTAGGTAGTCCAATTCATCAATTTCAGAGACAATATCCCGGCAAGAAGAAGTATCTGCGCCGGAGTTACGCCAGAATTTGAGTATGTTAAAAGTGTCCATTGTTGATAAGATGAAAATGTAGAGTTTTTGAATTTTAGAAAAAAAAGAAGACAAGTGAGAATGATGAAAACTCTTGTTGGTTTCATCTTTTTATATAGGGGAAGAAGAGTAGAGTCATCGTCACGTGAGAGGCACATTTTCATTTGCTTTTTTTAAAAAATAAATAAATAAATAATAGATAAGTCTCCATTTAAAAAAAGATAACAGACTGAAGTTTTGATATGCCCAATAAATAATAGACTTTTTCTGCTCCAAAGATACCCAACGTTCTCTTTACATTTTGAATTTTATTATAAATATTTCACTGTATTTTTTCAATTAGAAATAATGTCTTAACCAAATTTTACTGTATAATTTGTTCAAATATAATTTTTTAAATTTTGTAAAGTTATTAGTTTTTTAAATATGCGCAATGTTATTTCGTTTCATCCTTTTATTGACTAAAATTAACTTTCATATAGTAGGCCAGTCTTATCTAACTTAAACAGTATCAAATAAAAAAATGTGTCTTTTTCTTTTACTTACCTTTGCAGAGCTAGAAATCAAAGAGAGAGACAAACTAAAAGAAGAGTAAAAGGGATTGAACGGATTTTGGGGCACAGAACGCTCTCGGTATAACGAGTTCATCTGAATCTAATAATTTTTATGTTAAAATATTATATTAAATTTAAAATTTACTAAAATTCAAATAAATAAGAAATTATACAACGGATTTGACAATGTTTCATTGTGATTTTTTTTTTTAAAAATATTTATTATCAAAATAAAAAACAATATTCGAATATTAGAGATGTTTTTTTTTAAGTAATAAAAGTGAAAACATTATTTTATCATATTTCAAATTCTAAAAATCTAGCAATTCAGGTTTAAAGTTAAATATTTTTTTTTAGTTTAAAAAAAATGAAGTTTATTCATATGGTGAATGCTTTTGTTTTTGTGAGAGGGACACTCACCTTTTTCTTTTTTCTTTGGTTTTCAATATATTAATACACCAAGGCATTGGCTTTTTTTTACCTTTGTGTAGCAAATTAAAGTGTGGTCACGCTCGTTAGTCATATGCCTCAAAGTTTTGACTTTTTTTTTTTTTTTTTAAAGATTCATTTATCTTTGTAAAAAGTCCCTTATTTTCATATTTCTTTTGGGAGAATACTCTCAAAAGATTGAAAAAAAAAGAATGGTTCCACATAAATGTAATTTACAAAGTGATAAAAGAAGGTGAGAGTTGCAAAAGTAGAAAAAGAAATAAAAGTGAAATACATATAAAAAGAAGGGGAAAAAAAGTAGTAAGAGAGTTTGCAAATATAATGTTACTTTCTTTGGACCAAATTAACAAGCCTACTTTACTTTATGTCTCTATAAGGTTATTTTACTACTACTAGCAATTTTGTGTTTATCCAGTAGAGCATTGTAATAAGTTTGGGAGGATCATAGGTCTAAAATGAATGGTGGAGCGTGTAATTCGAATTTAATAAAGACTTTAATATAGACTTCAGAGATCGGAGAAAAAAAACAAAGATGTAGTTTTCACTTGTACTTATTGTTGGTGTATTTGAACGTTATTCTTTTTTTTTTTAAAAAATTATTAAATCCCCCAATCCCAATTTATGTGACTTACTTTTTTTAATGATTTATAGTCACATAAATTACTATTACTCATTTTGAATCACAAATTTTAAAAGTTTTTTTTTTAAAACTAGACGCCGAACATAAAATGAAACAAAGGCAAGTAATATGTAACGATCTCTTATTAGTACCCATTATTTTAAGTGTTCATAATTCCATATTATCATTCTCACATATTTTACAACTTTCTCCACCACGGCACCTCTACTTAAACACTAAATCATCTATCAACTTTTGTTTATAAATTTTATTACCCCACTAATTAACTCATAATTTTTTTCTATGGAAGGCTTATCGATCAGGCCTATAAATATGTGTTATTCAATCTTGTGATGGTATACGAAAAATATTGTAAAATTAACTAAAATGTGAGGTTATATATTAGTACTCTTATTAAAAAGATAACTTTTATCTTATTGAAAGAAGAAATATCTTTATTGGTGGAGTATTAAACTTAATAACATGCCAGAGTTCATTTGAGTCAACATTATCAAGCTATTACATTCTAAGAAGACAAAACGATCGATTTCAATCTAAGTAATTTTTGAATGAATCAACACTTGATCTTAATTTGTTCAGATTTATTTCAATTCGTTCATTTATCACCTCTACGTAGCTATTACTTTGACACAATGAAAAAGCAAAAAGTAGTTACTCAATCCAAAGAAACGATGTCATGCATGCATGCATGAATAAAGAAATTAAATGGGTGAAAACATAATGGCAGTGTGTTTATTAATACAGTGAATCCAGTACAAAGTAAAGGGACTAGTCTTAATTGGCAAAGCTTTGGGAACATAATTTTCTAATCCAAGAACCATATAGATTTTCTCTAATCCCACTATAGATTGCATGACTACATCAACAGGAAACAGGACAAATTAAACATGCCCAAATTTATTATTTCAATGATTTTAAACGACTTTAGGGAATATGCACATTCATTCCATTGAGTCAACAACTTCATTTTCTATATATATATATATATATATATATATATATTTTGGATGTGTGAATAATATCCCACATGGAAATTTAAGAATTATTTATGAAGTATTTGATATATACACTCTTGATGAGGCGAAGTCAATTGAAGTGTCGGAATTTTCTTCAAAGACGTTCATACTTTAGGATAAAGTTAAAAAAAAAATAAACCTAAATGAGATTATAAAGAATGGAATGCCACTTTTGTTTTCTTAAATGAGCAATCTTTCTTTAGCCTTTAAATGTGTTCAACAAATACCATATATCAAAAACTATTGATACTTAACCTATGTATTCACAAATATTTTCGGACGAAGGTAATTCATGTAAAACTTGGTTAATGTTAGGAGTCACATAGTTAATCTCCAAATTATACTAAGACATGTAAAACTTAATAAAATTAAGATGGAGATTGTTGAGTGTGGTGTGACCAAAGTCGATCTCACGTGAAAAGTAAAAGAGAAAAAATATACTATCATGAAGCTTTTTAAGAAAAATGGTAAAAGTACGATCCAAAACAGATAATATATATCACGTCTTCAATTGAATATATTTGTATAGTCTAATTAGTTTTTTGTATGCTCTTGTCAACTCTTTATCGAAGAAATGTATGGAACATTGGACAATTGCATGTTAGGGAGGCAATTTTTAAAGTTGACTTTATGAAGGCTACAACTAATTAAATTGGACCACTATTTTGGGTAATATGAATGATGTACATATGAGACAAAAATCAAGGTGAGGGTTACTTAGGTACAAATTAATTAATGTGTAATCAAGATTCTAGATAACATAAACCATAATAATTAGAGTAAGAATAAAATAGAAAGAAGATATACCATGGATGAGGACATAACAAAGAAAACAAAGTGTAGACACCGTTCCTAGGTTAAAGGACAATACATTTTAGAGTTGTCTCCTTGTTTGTCTCTTGTCTCCTCTTTCTAAATTCACATAATTCAGTAGAGTTAATAGAACTACTTCTATGTTTTCATTAAAACAATTATCTCGTAAGTGACATTATGATGGCCTACAAAAGGTAACTATTGTTCTACTTGATTAAATTCAATGGATGTAAGACCTATACTTACGATTGATTGTAGTAACACTCGTGTTGATTAACATGTTTCAAACTAATTTATCGGCTAATAAAATGATGCATACAAAAATAATTCACTGTAAAAGTATATATACCGTGTGGGTTCATAAAAATGTCGCACTTTAAGGAGTGTGATATATCCTAATACAAGTATTAATAAGTACTCATGATCTATAAATTATAGGGAAAAGGGTCTGATATACCCCTCAATTTTGTCATTTGGAGCTGATATACCCCTTGTTACGAAAGTGGCTCATATATACCCATACTTGTAAACAAATGACTCACATATACCCTTTTCCTCTAACGGAAACGGAAAAAAAATAATTTTAATCTAAATTTTAATTATTTTTTTCTAAAAAATATGATCCCATATGAGTAAATTTAATCTTCGTCAAAGATATTC